TCTTTAAGTGTCAAACCCACACATTTCGATAGTTATCCTTTTCTCCTTCCACTTTAATAATTTTGCCATTTACTGCTTTGAACAGTAAAAATTAAACGAGAGATAAGCGAAGGAATACTGAAAAGAGTAGTGGTGCGTGGGTTGGGAGGGGGAGGGTAGAGAAGAAGAATGAAAGCCAAGAAAAAAAATTAAATGGAAAGCTTATAAAAATCCCTAGAGACGATGATAGTGGATATGGAACGATACAAAAAATATAGATAAAAAAGGAAGCTAAAAGATTTCCAATTGGGCAAATTAATGGGGCGTAAGAAAGTAGAAATCAAACGGATCGAAGACAAGCACAGCAGGCAAGTGACGTTCTCTAAACGGAGGAAAGGACTCCTAAAGAAAGCCAAAGAACTCTCCATTCTTTGCGATGCCGATGTCGCCGTTATTGTATTCTCCAACCGTGGCAGACTCTACGACTTCTCCAGCACTAACAGGTTCCTCATTAAATCTCTTCATACTGTTAGATCTTCCTTCTAATTAACACTTAGTGTTCCTATTTTCCATTCCTTTATGTTTGTACTTATCCAGAAGGTGCACTCCAATATTATATTCTTCATTATTATTGTTACCTCTTCAGCCCTAGAAATTCGGGAAGCATGATAGCTGGTGAATCTCTAGGAGGACACCTAGCCATATATGCTGACACAAAACATGCACGTTTGAACATTAATTTGCATTAGGGTTACAGTCAGTCTTGTGCTGTTATTATCTGAATTTTCCTTTCCAATGAATAGTAAAGAGTGTCTTTTTGCATGTGATTATAGCGGCGCTCAGAGAATTATGACGTGAATATCAGGAACCACCTTCTTGAACATTCTTTTAAAGCAATTTTAGTTGGGGATATTCTGATATTTTTCGTGTGTGTATGTCAAAAGATTCATAAGATTCACTTCTTGTTGCTTAAGACTTGTACATCAAATATTGATATGTAGAAATATCGCTGTTTGAAGAAAATTTTGGAGAAAAAACGAGTTGGCCTGTTTTAACTACGGCTAGCAGGGAATAAGATTTCCATGAGGGTATGGTATATTAGCTTTAAAAAATATTGTGCTTGTGGTATCTTTTGGGATTGATTGCTATTCCACATGAGCAACCTAATTGGTAATAGCACCTAGTGATGACTGCTATGATCATTTACAAGATATATATCTCCTGAACAGAAGAATGTAATAGTTCTCTTTTTAGGATTTATAATTAAAAATAAAAAATCCAAGATTGACCATTTTTTCATTTTATATATGACTTTATATTATCAACTAATTACTCCCTCCGTTTATATTTAGATGAGGTAGTTTGACATGGATTTAAAGGAAAAAAGTGACTTTTGAAACTTGTGGTTTTAAAAGTTTTAGGGGTAAAAGCTTTATGAGGTCATGATATTTGTGTGGTTATAAAAGCTTATCATTAAGGGTACAATGGGTAAAATGAAGAGTTTAAAGTGGAATTATTTCCAAATTTAGAAATGTGTCATTTATTTTGCAACAGATTAAAAAGAAAAGTAATTTATCTAATCTGAAACGGAGGGTGTACTTTTTATCATCCCTATTAGTGGTTTCAATATGTATGCTACTTGTGTTTGTTTTTAATAGGATTTTAATAGGATCAGTTAAGTGTATAAGTTTCTACTTGAGACTACTCATCCAAAAAATTTTATATGTTGTTTGATTCTATTTTTTAAGACGGTATGTCCGTGTTATATATGAACACCGACATTATACCTTGAGAAATTGATTTTATTTATTGAATCTCCTTCATGTGCATGGACCATGAATGTATCCTGATATACTTTTAAGGTTTTGCATCTCTCAAGCACAAAGAAGAGAGGAAAACAAAAGCACCCCGCTAAAGTATTTAACAGAACTAGCAAAAATGTTCTTCAACTCGTGTGAGATAAAAAGTATCTTACCCACTCGTTTCTCAATCCCGCAAGATTTCATGAACCGCTAACGTTAGCTCCTTTTTAGCTTTTCTATGTCGTTTCCTGTTTTTCCTCTTCGCCTCCTTGTTTATGCTCTCTACTAGCGTCAAATATGTCACTTTCTTATCTTCTACTTTACTTTGGACCTCTTCACACCACCACCAGTCCCCTTTGTGGCCTCTAGAGGAAAACCTTCGAGACCCTTAACTCCTCTCTCACAACTTATATAATGCAGTTTGCTGCCATGGTCCACATATAACTCGCATCTCCATTGCTCCTACAAGCTCCCATAATTAGAAACTTCTCCTCCAACTCCTGAGCTTTTTTCTTATTGAAGACACCCCACCTGATCCTCGGTTGACCATACACAAACCTCTTTTTGCTTTTCCTCATGATTTTAAGTCCAAAAATCCAATCTTTAAGAAAAAGAAAGTTTAATCTTGATTGGATTCTTAAGACTTCTTGATTATTTTTTTAGATTTGGGCCTTCTTGATCTTGCATCATTCTCCTAGATGAAAAAAACTCGTCCTCGAGCCTAACAACTTCCATGAATGGTGCAAGATTTGCTATACTAGAGAAAAGGGACCAAATACTCACTAGGTTTTAACTTAAATTTTGTTAGCTTATCGTAGAGCTTCTTCACTTTGTCAGAAAACTTAGCATTTGGTTTAATTAAATGTCAATTTTTAAGTATTAACTTTTTACCAAGCCTTCTTCATGTAATCTTTTTATATTGACTATCAAACTTCAACTTACAGTTTGAAGTTATTGGTGTTAGAACTTTATGAAACTTGACTAACTCCATGCCTAGCTTTGAATTAAGCATGGAGGTCAACGCTCTTTTTAGGAATGCATCAATTGCAACGGTTCTACACCAACAATCGTTTGGATGATAGCCATACATATATATTTATGATGTCAAGGCAGAGTTCTAAGAGAAAGACGGGGGTTGATTTTTTTGCTCATCTTATGGACTTTAGGATTAATGCAATATGCTGCCTTGTTTGAAATGATAAAGTCGACAATCAAGTCAATATTGTGTTGAGCATCTCTGAAAGGTGGAAAGTCAATGACGCACATGGTTAGATACTCCAATGGTTTTGTCATAAAACTTTGATGGTAAATCCTCAACTTGTAGATCCAATGCATGTTTCCTTGTGCCTTTGATAATGGACTTCATCAGTTTTGTCATTTTCACTCCCTTGACTATCTGAATATTTATCATATTGGGCATGGTGCCTCGATACTCTCATGCCTTGGTCAGATTTAACCTCTTCAGCCTCCAATTTATCTTGCTTTATGCGGTTGAATTGGTGAATATCAAAGTAGTTAACGTGGCGGTGGTACTGATATGTTATGTGGTGGTGGAGGTTGTAGGCATTGTGACAAATTTGGTAGCTAATTTTGAAGCACGACCTTCAACCAATTCAGTCAGATGCCTCATAGATTCCGTCAAGCAGTCTAGCTGCACTTTAAAGCCATCTAGATGCACTTCAAAGCAATCTAGATGAGCTATAATTTCTTCATTGTCTCGTTAAGGACTTTCATTCTTAATTTTTTTAATTTTAAATTTCAGATCCCTTGAAGAGGATCCTGAACTTGCTATTTTCTTGTCGGGTGACATGATGAACAAGATAGCAAATCAAGAATTCGAACCTGAAACCTATGCTCTAATACCAAATTGATATACTTTCAAGGTTGTGCACCTCTCAAGCACAATGAAGAGCGAAAAGAAAAGCGCTCCCACGAAAGTTATTCACAAAACTAGTTGAATCATTTTTCAAACTCATGTGAGAAGAATATAAAATGAAAGAAACTTTACTCATTCATTCTTTAATTTCGCAAGATCGCATGAAGTGTTTAATAAAATAGGAAGAGTGAAATAAACGATAAATCACGTTTTTGAAACAAGAGTTTAGAAAAACTAATCACCAATATTTATTTTCATCATATTGAGTGAGCCCTTTAAATAGGAATGAATAAAATTGACGAGGTTAAGGAAAACTAATCCTAATTAAACTAAACTAAACTAAGAATAAGGTGAAGAAGAAAAACCTATTCTAATTAAAATAGGAAAAAAAGTTCTAGTAGGAATATAATATCGACTAACAATCCTAGTTTGAGTAAAACTACAAATATAATCTTACTAAAACAAGAATCAAATAAGAATTTCTAATCTTTAAGGAAAAGAAATTCTAATCTTGAATGGGTTATTGGACTTCTTGAACGTTTTGATTTTTTACCTTCTTGATCTTGCATCATATCCTGCACTTAATGTTGATGTGGTGATTACTTTGGTGTATCTTTATGTTTCTTGTATGTCATACACTTCTCATTGTACCGAGTACTGATGTTTTAATCCATAAGCGTTTCATGTGGTAGCACAAAATATATAGACGAGTAGCAATCATGAATAATGTGCATAACATTGCATGCTAATTTTTCAAATCCAAAGGCATTCAATGTATTCAAGATTTGCTATTTGACGTACTTTCAATTCTGACAATAGTTAAGGGGAAATTCCAGCTCTGCAATAGGGATCAGAACTGACACTAACATGACTTGCAAACAATGCTGACGTTATATAGCCATATAGGCAACGCTCGGGACCACCTCGCTTTGCTTCAGAATCTTAGGCGCAACTCTTCTAGTCAGAGAAGAGTCCAATTGTGAACCTGCACACTCCTATCCTATTGTTGCTTCTATCACGATAGGGAACCGTGTAATTCCTTCTATCCTCGTACTTTCTCGCTCTTATGGAGTTGTATTCCCTAGGTTATGTAGAAGGGAAAATTACTTGAGCCTTTTCGCCTTTGCTTCTTCTTTCCGGAGGTACAACATATGAATTCTAATTAATGACCATGGAGGTGTCCACTATCATTGCACAAGTCTTTCATCGAGAAATGAAGAGAATATAAAAGGACTAGCCGACTCAAGCTCTACTCCTTTTTCTATAAATTCTTCATTTAGTAAAACCTCAATCTCAATTCCAAGAAATTTTGTAAATAACATTTACCCTAAAAAGACGGAGTTCACACCTACTTTGAGGAGAAAGAATCCCTAACATCGATTGTCAAGATTTATTGTCAACTTGGTATATGAATATGTAAATTACGCATTGGAATACTATTGAGTTGATTAGGGATTAGATTTGGCGGGCTGTTCAAGGTCCTAGGTCACTTTGTTGTTACAACAAGTTGGCATATGAGACACAAAGTTGAATGGCACCCATAATTTTATAAGATATATGCATATTTTCTCAACCCACAACCCTAAAGAGTAAAAACAAAATCCTAGATATCATTCTTGCAACATCGAACCAAAGAAAATATATTGCTCTATCTACTTGTAAAAGGTCTAAAAAAAAAGAATTGATCCAAGTGATCTAAATGCTTACCTATACCCAAAGTATTAGGAAAACAATACTCAGCCATATTTTGATGTAGTTCCAATTTGAATTTAAAATTGCCAGTATTTTTACATCGAACTTAACATGCACAATTTCTACATTACCT